CCCCAAAACCCCAAAACCCCAAAACCCCAAAACCCCTAGTGATTTAAAAAATATTGATTCTTTAATATTAGAGATAAAATATGTTTGTAAAGTCGAAATTTTTAGTAAGACTCAGACTTCTTACTAAGAGCCTAGGTTTGACTAGTTGTAGAAATATGTCGATGTTTAAGGGAACTGTGCGTACGTTGGATACAGGGGTAGGATTCATTCCGCATATGGAGAAGAGACATAAGGGCGGGGAGGATGCATACTGTACTTCAGATACGATGGTGGCTGTAGCTGATGGAGTAGGAGGATGGGCTGACTCTGGAGTTGACCCAGCGTTATATTCGAGGAGACTTTGTCTTAATATTAAGGATAGGTACCTGAAGGATAGAGATAAGGGCATCGATGCGATTCATTCGACTCTGAATAATCCAAAGGAGCTGTTAACTAGAGCTGTGGAGGAAACAAGGGAGAGGGGAAGTAGCACCGCTGTGATATGAATGCTCGATAGCCAGAAGGATTATTTACACACTGCCAATTTAGGAGATTCTGGGTATATTTTACTGAGAAAGAGTGGATATGACCTTATCACACTTTTCAGATCAAAAGAGCAGACTCATGGTTTCAACTTCCCTTATCAAGTTGGAGTTGGAGGGGGTAAGTTGTTATGGTTAAAATTTTAGATGATCCCCAATCAGCAGATGTAAAAGTTCATGAGGTTCAAAATAATGATATCCTAGTTGTAGGAACTGATGGTTTGTTTGATAATATGTATGATAAGCAAATAACAGAAGTAATCAGTCCTTTTATAAAAGAACAAGATGACCTCTTAGATGCAGGATTAGTTGCGGATATGCTTTCCAAACAAGCTGAGAAATTATCCCTCAATACTAATTGGAACTCTCCATTTGCAAAGAGTGCTTATGATCACTTTTACGATTACAAAGGAGGGAAACATGATGATATCACAGTGTTGGTATCTCAAATAAGGATCAAACATATTGAATAATTTCCACCGTCAGGTAAAATCTCGGGGTTTTGGGGTTTTGGGGTTTTGGGGTTTTTGGGGTTTTGGGG